GATCATTTTAGAAAGAAATAAAAACTTGATACACTTTTCAAAAAAAACTTTTTTGAAAACTGTAGCGTTTTTTTTGAAAATTAACTCCCCGCACGCTATTTTAAATCCAAAAAAAAATTATTTCACCATATAGCAAAGTATTAAATAGTTCAACGATTTCGAAGAAGGATTAAATTTTAATAGCGCGAAATATATTGCGCGATAATTGTCCCAAACTGGCCAAATCGGCGATCTTTAAATCCCTATAACTTCACGAAAAATGATCACAAGTGAAATATTTTTTTATTTGAGCTCAAGACAACAATGCCTTTTGAATGGTATAAAAAAGTTCCGCCGAAAATGTGAGTTGAAAAAGCCGAAATTTGTCTGGAGAAAAAAACACCCCGAGCACAATTATTTCAAAGACGGAGTCTTCGAAAGACGGAATAATAAGCCAATATTTTAATTGTGAATCGCATGTAGTCACAGAGATAACGGCAAAACCTCATAGAAAAAAAATTACGTTCTTTTCGTTGGTTGAAAACTAAAAGTTGCAACTTCTTTGTGCCGTGACTGCAGAAAAACTCTCAAGCAACTTTCAGCTTGTCCGTGCCCTTAGCAACTTATGCCTTCATAGCTTAACATTTAAAAGCTTTAACCCTGCTGGCTTCCTAAATGCCCTCATCTGGAAGGTATTTTGAAATTACATCCCGGTATCTAGCCCAAAAAAGGACTAAAACGTGAAGGTTATCCAATTTTTCGTTACTAAGACGTTGAGTATGAGCGTGACATTAGTTTTATTGCGCTTAGTTGTGCTCGAGCAGGCAATAAAATATCTTTTAAGCAGTTAAAAGAGGTAAATATTTTCTGAATACTGTTCTTTCAACCTAATATCTGTCGGTTTATTTATGATTAGTTCTTCTAGATGAGATCTAACTATCATTGAGGTGTTAAGCTGTTACTGCTGTGTGACAATAATTGACAATTTGACAAGTGTGACCTCTTTGAAAGTCAGTTAGTTGGTGACTGCTAACTGACTTCTAAGTCTTTTCTGACTTGTATATTTCCCTAAATACCTGCCATCCACTTTTTATTCCGATTTAGAGCCACCAACTTTGAATGCTAAGTCTTCCAGCTTGATTCTACTGCTGTCGGTGCTTTTGATCATGAACCTAGATAAAGGGGGATCTAGTCAGAAAAGTCTTTTATGGTGCAGGTTAGAGAACATCTAACATACACTCTAATGGGAAATCTAAACAGTGATTCCGCCCTCGAAAAGCTTGCCGTCTGGATGATTAGCAAACATATGATTGGTGATATGTTGCATAGATTTTATGATATATTAATCTGTCGCAAATGGCGGCTTACAGTACACAAACACACCTATCATTATACTGAGACCTCCGAGACAAAATAGCAGACGACGCTTTAAGTGATCTTTTCTCATGTTTATACCATCCATGCAGACACTTTCGAAAGCGACCCGGAACATTGACGCTCAATTTTTGCATTCACTAGCAAATTAAATTGACCTCTAGCTGCAAAAAAATAAATCTTTCAACCTTGGCCGTCAATCTAGCTGAAAAACAACATATTCACACAAAATCAGGATTAAACCCCAGTAACTAATTCTTAGCCCAAAAAACCTGGGAGCTTGAAATTATCAGGTAGCTCAAAAAGTCTCATCTTGAATTATATCATCCATTTTTTACCTATTTCTCCTTTCTTACTTTACAAAAAGAAAGCTCATGCACAGACCGCTATAAGGGATACTTAGAGCTGAGTCTGAGATGGGGAGGGAAAACTGTCACGGAGGATAATAATGATGAATGAATGTTTAATTAAAACAAACACTTTCTTGCATTTGAATTAGATGGAAAATGAAAAGACCCGAATACCTATAAAACCAGAAAGAAATGAGAACACGAAATTATCTTAGATGTTCAAAACTTTGGTTGTCCTAATGAGAAAAGTGATTGCAGTAAAACTTGAATGACTAGTAAGGAGTCGAAAAAAAGCAGTTTTTACGTCTTAAAAAGTACTTTAAGAATGTTTTCTCGCGGCTCAATGAGTTTTGAAAAGCAAATACACAAAGCTTCATTTTTCATGAAAACTTTTTATACCTATTTTTTTGTTGATTTTTTTTACTTTCTCTATCGATTACGAGCGGGAAAAAAATCTTTTTGTCTAGTTCCTTGGCGACAGGTTTCTGTAGTGTCCAAACTTTTTTTATTATAATTATTTTCGTGAAAACTAACTTTCTCAAGTGTTAATTATTTGTAGGATTCGGAGGACACAAAGAAATCCTGATGCATTTTTGGTCTATACAAGTACATGGAACTTGGATTGAAATAAATTGAATTCAGATTCATGAATTTTTTTATGCCTATTTTTTTGTTGATTTTCTTTATTTTCTCTATTGATTACGAGCGGGAAAAAAATCTTTTTGTCTAGTTCCTTGGCGACAGGTTTCTGTAGTGTCCAAACTTTTTTATTATAATTGTTTTCGGGAAATCTAACTTTCTCAAGTGTTAATTATTTGTAAGATTCGGAGGACACAAAGAAATCCTGATGCATTTTTGGTCTATACAAGTACATGGAACTTGGATTGAAATAAATTGAATTCAGATTCATGAATTTTTTTATGCCGATTTTTTTGTTGACTTTCTTTATTTTCTCTATTGATTACGAGCGAGAAAAAAAATCTTTTTGTCTAGTTCCTTGGCGACAGGTTTCTGTAGTGTCCAAAATTTTTTTATTATAATTGTTTTCGTGAAATCTAACTTTCTCAAGTGTTAATTATTTGTAGGATTCGGAGGACACAAAGAAATCCTGATGCATTTTTGGTCTATACAAGTACATGGAACTTGGATTGAAATAAATTGAATTCAGATTCATGAATTTTTTTATGCCTATTTTTTTGTTGATTTTCTTTATTTTCTCTATTGATTACGAGCGGGAAAAAAATCTTTTTGTCTAGTTCCTTGGCGACAGGTTTCTGTAGTGTCCAAACTTTTTTATTATAATTGTTTTCGGGAAATCTAACTTTCTCAAGTGTTAATTATTTGTAAGATTCGGAGGACACAAAGAAATCCTGATGCATTTTTGGTCTATACAAGTACATGGAACTTGGATTGAAATAAATTGAATTCAGATTCATGAATTTTTTTATGCCGATTTTTTTGTTGACTTTCTTTATTTTCTCTATTGATTACGAGCGAGAAAAAAAATCTTTTTGTCTAGTTCCTTGGCGACAGGTTTCTGTAGTGTCCAAAATTTTTTTATTATAATTGTTTTCGTGAAATCTAACTTTCTCAAGTGTTAATTATTTGTAGGATTCGGAGGACACAAAGAAATCCTGATGCATTTTTGGTCTATACAAGTACATGGAACTTGGATTGAAATAAATTGAATTCAGATTCATGAATTTTTTTATGCCTATTTCTTGTTAATTTTCTTTATTTTCTCTATTGATTACGAGCGGGAAAAAATCTTTTTATCTAGTTCCTTGGCGACAGGCTTCTGTAGTGCCAGACTTTTTTTATTATAATTGTTTTCGTGAAATCTAACTTTCTCAAGTGTTAATTATTTGTAGGATTCGGAGGACACAAAGAAATCCTGATGCATTTTTGGTCTATACAAGTACATGGAACTTGGATTGAAATAAATTGAATTCAGATTCATGAATATGGTGGCTGTTTGCCAAAAACAACCGTGACATAGTCAAGAAAAGAAACATTGAGACTCAGTAATGGATTTCGGGGACGCCCAATCGCCCTCAGGAAAGAGTTCGTGTTTTGCTGACCAACCCTATAGTTTTTATAAAAGCGCAGTGGTGCCAAGATGTACCAATAATGAAGGAGAGCGCGCGCCAAAAACAACACGTTTCTTTCGACTCAAAACCTTCCAAAAAATGCATAAAATTGCTGAGACTTGAAAAACACGGACATCTTTTCAACATTTCTTTTTGCTTCATATTAAATAATTTGAACACATTATACCATATCGTTTTTTGAAGACCTTCAAAAGGATTAAATAGCAATACTTTTTTATAAGAAGTCTCGGATCTAGGATTTCTCGAGCTATCTAAAAAAAACTTTGTTGACCTTATTTTGGCAAAACTCTGGGATTGGTTGTTCAAAAATGGATTTTGTAAAATGGTACCAAAGCAGGGACCCGAGGTAGAAACCTGAGGGGCTGTTGCCCTCCCATTACATATGCTACAGAGCAAAATATTTTATGCACAAGAATCATCCAGCCATGAAATTTTTCGTCGCTTAGTTTCTGCAGACTATTTCTGAAAATGGTCAATTTTCTAGAAAAAAAAGAAAGCTGATAGTTAGTTTTGGAGTTCATGTTTTTGTGTCAGATAAAGGTAAGAAGCATCGGGGTGATTGCTGATGATTTCTGTTTAGCTAACATCACGGAGGACAATGGAGATGATGAGGAGTCTTTGCTGATCAGTGGGCGCACACCCAGCCCCATGTGGTATCCTGACACTTACTTCCAACTAGTGCACTCTCTCCTCTACAGCGAGGAGGAACAATCGGTCCAGTTCCTCCCAAACGGCTTCGTCGAGCTCATCCAGAAGGTGCGTCTCGTCACTCCATGCACTCCAAACGTCCATCTCTTCCCATTCGACGTCGTCCAGTGCAGTCTGCAGATGTCCAGTTTTGGCAATCCAATCCAGAATGTGAACTACTCCTGGGACTCCGAGAGAACCCCTGGAGGCGTGTTCGTCGACCCCAAGAACAATGACGCCGACCACCTCGGCTTTGACATCCTACCGACTGGACATGTGGCGTTCAACTGCGAATACGGGCCAGACACTTTCTCCTGCTTCACTGCCACCATCTCTCTCAAACGGTACTATTCGGCATACGTGTTGCAGATCTACGTGCCCGCATTCCTACTAGTAATCCTCAGCTGGCTCACTTTCTGGGTGAACATCCAAGCCACACCTGCCAGAGCCAGTCTGAGTGTCACTACAGTTCTATCCATGCTCACTCTCACCTCACGCAGCTCCGCCGAGAACCAGAAGCACGTGAGTGGAAAGGTGACGGCATTGGATGTCTACATCTACGTCTGCTTCATTTTCGTCATCCTCGCAATGCTAGAGTTCTCGCTGAGTGACTTTGCGGCCTCACATGCTGCTAAAAGGAACAAGCAAACCCACCACACCCTGCTGGTCAACAATTCCAGCAATCACCAGCACAAGACCACACCCAGAACCAGCAGCACTCACTGGATCCGCTCACTCGTCACAGACGGGGAAAACGTGAACAAAGTGGCGCGCGTGGTTCTTCCAATCGCTTTCTCGGTGTTCAACGCCATTTACTGGGCTGTTTTGACTGTAGGCGTAGCGAGACAAACCCACCATGAAATAACTCATATTGTAGCATAGCTAACCGAGCATTTCTCATAAGCATCCCATGCCGAAGTTTCTCAGATTAAAAAATTATCCTATTTTAATAACCATTTGCATTTTAGAAGAAGAGCAAACGGATTAACTTCCACAGTGATTATGTCGCATACAACTCCACCAAAAAAAATTCCGCAAAGTAATTGCAAAAAAACCTTATTATTTTCCTACTTAATTTTTAGAAAAAATATATATTTTTTCTCCATGTAATCCCAATAAAATCTGTTTTAAAACACATTCTCACACTCTGTGATGAGATGATTTCTAATGTTCAATGAAAAAATTTTGGTGCCAAGGTTATTTCTAATAAAACAAATCTTGGACTGAAATAAACTCTTAAACTATACGTAATCGATAGGTGGAGAAATAGGTTAAAAACAGTACATTCGAAAAAATTCGACAGTGGAGAAACTCAAAAGTGCATAATATGCTTGGTGTGGTTTTTTGCTCAGTCAATTTTCGGCGACCGAAATAATAGTCTTTAACAAATAAATTTTATGCCCCATTGAAGATATCGAATCCCTGAAGTCAAATTCAAAAAGGTTTTTACCTTCGGTTTTTTTGCAAATTTCGGGAGTTTGAAAATTGCTAATTTGACCATGCTCTAGACTAATTAATGCGCACTTTCAAATTTTTATCCAAAATTCTTTGTAGTTTTTCCCAAAAATCTAATCGATATGGATTAAGAGACAGTCAAAACGTTCAGGACTTTGACCTGATATACCAGCAGTCTTGTTTCCTTAGGATAAGGGAGCTTAGAATTAGTGGAAGGTGAGGCACTGCCGGGAACACAACATTCAGGTTTGCCAATTCTAGATTGGAAGTAAAAATTTGCAAGTAGAACCAAATAGGCTTTTTTGTTTAATCTCTTGTTCCGACTTTTGACTACTTTTTTTTGATAATATCCTCCTCACACGCAATTTTGACAAAATTAAAAAAACTGATTTGTATCAGGGTAATGCCTTGAAAGTTCCGACCGCCTTCTAGTCTCTATAGAGCAGTGTTTGCATTAAAAAACTGATGATTTTTTCAAAAATTGTGAAAAAAAAATTTCAAATTTTTTTTGAAAAATCAACCACAAAATGTTATATATAGTACAAAAAAAAACTTTTTTTGATAATATATAAAAATCCTGTCAAAAATGGCAAGTTAAAAAGTCCAAATTTGTCTATTTGTCTGGAGAAAAAACCAACCCGAGTACAAATATTCCGCACTTTCTAGGAAACTTGGAGCCTAATAATGCAAAATTTGCAAGAAGCAATTTTCATCATTTCTAGTCACAATAATTTTCCCCACTGGATTAGAGTTTATTTAAATTAAAGTGAATTTCAAAACTTTTCTAATTCATGATTGTTTTTTTTTCAGCCAAATATTCAGCCTAACCCGGGTTGACAAAAGTTGCTTATCATACAATTCCATACTATGGAAAAAATGCTTATCATACGATTCCGTTCAATTCCATAGAAAACAAATCGTATGAAAGTCACATGATAACCATTTTTTCCACACAATGGAATTGTATGATAGCATTTTGTTTCCATTAAATGGAATTGTATGATAGGTGTTTTTGCCCTAAACCAAAAAGTTGTTTTTTCTTTCTAATTTTGTTTTTTGAAACATTTTGGGTTCTGTTTGCAACTGAACCCAAATGACAAAAACCTTGGTTACTCAAAGCAACAAAGGTTCGACGTTCTTGCTTTTACAATGCATAGAAAACGACCTGAATTGTCTTCGAGCTGACTTTCACAAATGATATAACAAAAGTAACAAACTTTTAATTTTTGGGAAAAATTTTCAATGATGATTAATTTAATTTTTTGCATTTTCAAATTATCAGACATTGATCAGGGCGTACTTAAACACGCCTTGCAAAAGAAATAGGAATTTTCAGCGTTTTTGAAAAAACATTTTGAAGTGAAAAGAAAAAAAGCCAATATTATCGTATCCAGGACTACGTTATGCACACAAAAAATTAAATTTTGCAGGCAAAAATTTTTTTCGGAAAAGGTTTAATTGCAAAGAAAACTCGATTTGCGGTTGAAAAAAAAAAACAAAAAAAAATTTGGGCAAGTTTCAAATTTACTTCAAAGTTTTTCTGTCGCGGCTAAAAGTTTGTTTATCGAAAAAATGATTATCATTTCATTTTCATAGAATGGAAATCGTGTGATAAACATTTTCGTCAAAAATGAAGAAAAAAATGGGCCCACTTGATCTAATTTAATCATAAAACGAATCAAGCTCGAAAAAAAAATTCAATGAAAACAAACACTTATCTGGAACCAGATATAAACTATATTTATTATTTGGTTATAAATTGTATATTTTATCTCTATAAAATATTTAATATTAACCAATCACGATCCATCTAACTAACAACCCACTTATTTGTAAGTGCTGAAATTACTTGTAATTTGAGCACCAGAGAGATTTGAATTAAACTTAGAAATTAGTTACCTCTCCAAGAGAACTTTAGCAATCGCAATGAGCCAGTATACTCTAGATCTATTGAGCCTAGCAGAGACTAGTTAAACACCCTGAGACTAGCAGATATAAGAGTAAGATTAGGATCGGTATTAGATTAAGAAGTTGCACGAATCTATCCAGGCCGAAAATAAGATAGCGTGACGAGCAGACGGTGTACCCTATCCGAAATTACTCTATGAGTTATACCTCGAACGTAACTCATCTGGTGCGACCATAAGTCTCGATCAAGATTTTAAAAAACAAATTAGTTTAGAACTAACAGATAGATTAGAATTAGACAAAAAAATATATTATCAAAAATGTTACATGATAATAATCTAATTGAAAAGTCTTTACGACTCAATAGATCAGAACCGCTATTCCGCACAATAATAGAAATACCAGGCATTGGAAGAAGACCTCGGACAAGAGACGATCTACGACTACGAAGGAACTTACCATTAAGTTTCATGGTCGTAGGGCAAAGCCAGACCAAACTTTTATATTTAGGATTTTATTAACAAAAAATTTAGATTTTCATTTGCAAACATAGAAACCTTAAAGAAAAATCTTCAAAGATTACTACAGGCGCTAAATCCTATTTACTATTGTACAAAAACGATTTATAAAAACATCTCAATTAGTTTCCTCTAAATCTGCAGTAAAATTAAAAAAGATATCCGAAAAATATATTTATTGACAGAAAAAATAAAAAATTAGTTGACATGATCATTAATTATTAATATATACAAATCATCCTGGCATCCCCTGCTTCATCACTTAAACATAATATCAATCATTTAAACCACTAATATCATCAAACACTAAAAATTTTATCAAATAAAATTAAATTATCTTTAACACCTTATCTAAATTTTTATCATTCTTTCATCTCAACTTATTCAATCTTAAACTAGATCATCAAGGCTTCCCTTGGATCTCCATTGAAAATTAAATTAAATCCAATTTATATCATTAAACCTTATATCCTGATCATCAAGGCCTATCCTTGGATCAAAAAGAACAATTTTGTTCTCCCCCACCCAATAATAAAGTGTCTAACGACCTCAAACGTCGATTCACAACCCAACTCTTTTTAAAGACCCAGGAATAATAGAAAATTTTTCAAACACACTAACTACTCAAATTAAGCTAAACAGTGAAAAACTTCGGTTATTCGTCCTTCACTTAATCACCCCTCTTACCTGACCCAGGCTAAACCTTAAAATTCGTAAGTATTAATTTAGTTTCTAACGAACTACCTGTGTTCTAATTATACCTGAACCTCGTGGATTGATTTACTATTCTCCAACCCTTGAACACAATCACTACCCCTAAGTAAGATTAAGTAAGTTAACACCTCAACTTAGAATAGCCACGAGAAAGTAAAAATCATTGTTCGGAATCGATATATGCTTTTCTCTCCAACCCTACATAAAAGACCCAAGTTAGGCTAACCAAAAAATCGTAAGGATTAACAGTCTAGGATTTTAAAATCACTAACAACAACCTTGCACCCTTCATCCTAAACCTTATGTCACTGAACAATTTAGGAAATAAACAAACAACCGTACTACACAATTGTAAAATAAATAACGAAACATACGATCTTGTAATTACACCGCATAAACAAACAATCGGATATATTCGCACAAAACGTCAAACAATAAAAAGAAAGTTTTTAAGTAAGCAAAGACAAATTACACGAAAAAGATTTTCAAAGCGTAGAAACGCAGTCTCTGAATCAGAAGTCAGCGATTTAGATGCACTCTACAAACTAAAAGATACAGTAAATAAAAATCACCCAGTTCATGGTCAATTATACTTTTCCGATTCAGAAGCTACATCACATTCATCAAAACAAGGAAAAAGAAGAATAAAAAAGATAAACAAAAATAAACCAGTACGTTTTCACAGTTGAAACCAACCAATCAGACACATTGAACATTACGCACTGACAGTCATAAAACGAAAAAATGAGTCAAAGCTCAAGTGACAAAAGTCCAGAAGACGACTCTGTTTTCCCATTTATCATCATTTCACTCACTGAAGACAGAGGACAAACACAATTTTTGTCATAATCTAATCGCAAATATACTTGAACAAGGAATTAGCCCAAGTAAAGCAGAATTCCCAGAAATGAAAATCAAAAGACAAATTGTCGATCATGACAAAAAAGGAATATGTAACTTAACACAACAATATGGAATTTACACCATAGAACTCAGTACAACAAGAAACTTCCATGGCAAATATGTTATCCAAACAGATGATGTCGATATAGAATTTTCAAAAGTATTCACAGAATACATTAAAACATACAACATCAAAATTCACAGAGAGCAAATTCAATTTTCACTAACGATGTTTTTGCAATAATATATAACTATTTATCTATTGTAGAAAAAACAGAAACCGAAAGCACATCACCGGTTCAAACATCAAGACACTCAAATATAAGAAATGAAATTGCCGCATTCTCAGCATTTTTAAACACAATCCGCAAAAAATTTTTCAAATAACGAAGTTTCAACAAATGTTAAACACGATTTACAAAAAATTTCAGCCTGGTTTATAATTG